ATCCCCCACCCCACCTGCCCACAGGACCACTCACCACCTCCAGGGCCCACCGCAGATCGCCCAGGAGGCCCAGCAGCGCTATGGCATCCACACCCTCTGCCTGCACCCTGCAGCATCAACTGCATGATGGGGTGTGAGGGCAGAGTCTTGTCTACGCTGCCTGGCTGCCATGTCCTTGGCTGCGCTGCTCTGTGTGGGCCACGCTCGAGGGCGAGTCTCCTTCAGGGGGGCTGCTGGAGAGGAGGGGGTCACGGGGGGAGGCAAGGCTTGGGCAACAGCACGTGTGCCCACAGAGAGGGCTCCGAGTGCCGCCTCTGGCACCCGTGCCATAGGTTCGCCACCACTGGCATAGGGTTTCCTTCCTGAGCTGGGGGTTGGACTAGATGACCTCCAAGGTCCCTTCCAACTTTATTATTATTAGTAATATTATTAGTATTATTAGTATTAGTACTACTGCTACTACTACTATGATAGCTCTTTATAAAAGAATAAAATAATTAGAATAAAAATGCAAATAAAAGGTACTTAGATAGTTATATGGTCCTTTAACCAGGACAACAATAGCAATTGCAATTAAGCAAAATTTTTCTATATTCTTGAAAATTTCAATGAAAGCCAACCAGTAAAAATGAGGGTGTTTATGAATTCTGCATGAGAAGTACAATCGAAAGAGTAAAGTGAACTTTTGTGTATTCTATGGCCATGATATCTTTAGGTCATAAAGAAGATACAGCCCTGGTGCAGCTCTGCCTCTTTGGGACCTTCCCACTGCAAGTTGCTAAGATGGCTTAGATATTCTGAAAGTCCATAAAATTAATCTAGAATTAATAATCAAGTGGTATATTAATATTTCATACTAATGATACAAAGACACCAAGTACTAAGCAATAGATAATTTAGCGCAAAGAGTTAATAATGCAAAACAACAGCTTATCTAAAATAATGTGCTAAATTCCTATATTGCTATTTCTTAATAGTAATATAGGAATTTAGTACACTATATTAGATCCACTGTTATTAAACAATCCCCCCCAAAATTCAGACATTCTTTTGATTTTATTGGGATTTTCTTCAAATGTCCTATTTGAGACTTTCAGTGAGTCCTGTCATGTTTAAGTAAACCAACTTGATACCTGTTATTTTTGTTCATTTTAATTATAATATTTGATGTTGAAAATGTGAAGATTTGAATTAGATAAATATATGTGTACTATGTGTATTCATAAGTTTATAGGCCTAAGATTCCTCAGGTGGCATTAAAAAGCTCAGGCATCTTGAGTGATTGATTGACTGATTTGGTATTAAAGCAAAGGAAAGCACATGTAATTGTATAGTAAAGTCTGCCACGTAATTTCAAAGTAACATAAGGAATGACACCACTGCTCCCTGCAACCTTCCGGTATTATTTATTTATTCCAACAAGGGGATGCAATAAAATAAGAAAAAGTCAAGCAGGAGTTATTTTATATGTCAGTATATACAAAAGTTAGGCAAACCACTAAAACATTCTTCTATGATTTTCCTGCCATGGATCAGACCAGACCAAAGGGAAATACTTCGTGATTCAGCAGTTGTTTATGGAGATTGATATCACCCTTGCAGTGACATTTTATTTATTTTTAAAAATTATGTAAGCTGAAAGCAGAGAATATCAATTTGAAGGGAACTGTAAGAATATGAGGTGCCCATATTCAACATATTAGATTTGTAAATGCCACAACATATTTATTCAAAAATAAGAGAAATATTTGACTATACAATATCATAAATATTGGTCAGTAAAGTAACAGCTGACTGCTGTCTCTTGAGATGAGTTCAGATAAATCTCAAGTAGCTACTGAAGCATTAAAACATATTTACTGTAGCAAACTAGAAAAGATAATTCGGAAGATTTTGCAAAATCATCTGTAATACTCCCTAGTTGGATGTATTTAATGAGGTATCTGTAAACCAATATTTTTTTTGATGTATTGTTGATTTTGAACTCTAGGACTGTCTGCAATAAGATCATATCCATTCATGACTGCGACTTTAGGCTAGTCAAGTCAAGGTTTCATGTTTGGTTACTTAGAGAGGTTTGAGCATGCAACTCCTGAGAAAATAGTCATTCAATCTGGTACTGTTAATCCAGCCACA